TTCGACTGAGTTGTTTAACCCCTTCGCACATTCTAGGTTACTTGGTACATAAATAGGTTACCAAATACAAAAACTCTACTTTGAAAAACAAGATATCACCCCTCCGTCACACCCCCCACTCCCCTCCGTTTGTGGCGCGGCACACTTTCGAACAATTTAAAAAAAAATTAACACCTAATTAAAATTTAATCTAAAATACACTTCACTATTAAAACATACAGTTTCCACTTAATTTCCACTATCACATCATTAAAATGACTTTAATAGTAGAATAGTTAATTGTCAACAGCTGTCACAGTTATTCATTAAAGCAGTAACTTAATCTAGATTGAATTTAATACAAAAATTGCAAAAAATTAGACTAGACAAGTATATAATACACATCATTTATCTGCTGCTTTTTCATTTACAATAGGTGAGGTCAAGTTTTAAATAATCTTCCGATTATGCAATTTTTTACCCAGGTTAAGAAGTATATTAGAGAAACGTCACCTCACCAAATGATTAAATAATAAAAAGGACAGTGGCATAATTATGCAGCAGATAACATAGAAATAATAATACTTCAGGAAAGATGAAAGCAAGGCTATACATTAAAAAAATGTTTCGCAACAGCATCCTAGTGAGAGGAATCGTGATCAACACATTCAGGAGATACGCATTTCATGCTATTTTGACATAAAACTAATACAAATGATAAACAAAATTTTTGAAAATTATTTTTAAAGCCATTAAATTCTACTAAAAAATAAAATAATAAATTAGAAATAAAATTTTTAAGAATGTGTAACGTCACTGTGTAACGTCACCCCCCCCCCCTTGTCACAAACTGTCACACTTTCTTACACCCCGCCTCCCCCTCCTGGAGCGTGACGTACTTTATGGACGGCCCCTTTGCCACTGGGAATAATAAATACAAGTAATATCATATAATTTATTTTTCAAAAAATACATTGACAATATTGAATTTCCAAAGTTTTACTTAGAAAATTTAAGATGTTCCCGAATAAACTGTGGAGATCCAAATAACCTAATCCTAAATAATTAATTGCATTAAATGTTATCTTTACACCGCATAATAAAAAATAGCAATTATAATTATAAAATAATGCATTTATTAGAGTGACAGTGTTGCAGTATTATTCTATTTTAAAATTAAAAAACAAAAAATTATATGATTTTATTTTAAAAAGTGCAATTTAAAAATAATTCGAAATTCTTTTTGATGTTCTTACTTGTTAACGTAAATTATTAACTCCGTGTAAAGTATTAAATACTTTTGTAAGCACACAATTATTGTATCAGTATCTGGAGTTTTTGTTTCCGTCATGGCGACGTCCTAACAATAATTCAACACCAACAACACATAGGCAAACTAAAGAAGATGAAATGGTTATACTTATACACTCATAATAATAATATCTGTAATTTTTTATGTTAAGTATTTTGTCTTTTTCTTACAAATAACGCTTTTTTTTTTTCAAATTGAGGAAATAAAACACGATCGTCTTTCTACTTATCGGACTCCTGAAGTTTTATTTAATTTAGTGCCTAATTTTTAAAGTTAAAGACTTAAAATTTAAACAAACGCTTTTTATTCTTCTACTAATAGACCCAGGCATTATTAACTTTTTTGGTTTAGGCATTAACTTTTTACATTAAGCAGTTTAGTTTAGGCTTTACAAGGAGCCCTTCAGTTTTACTATGACTATGACTTAGTTTTTTTTACCTTCTGAGCTGGCTTCTCATACTATAGTCAGTCAGTCATAGTCAAGTCAATGAGTCATACTCATCATAGACTCATACTCATAGACCTAGAGAAGTAAGAGTAAAGAATACTCTTCTTATTCTTAGTGCTTAGTACTATTTACTAATATTTAGGCCTACTAATTTTGGCTTAGCTGTTGATCAGCAAATAATTGGAAATTATCATTTTGAAAACAGTATAATATAATGGCCCAAGGGCAATGGTATTGCTAATTGGACTTATTGGTCATCAGTTCAGTGCAATCCTACTACACTGTCTCTGAAAAAGTTGTGCATGCTCTGATATTATTGGCTTTCATTTAATTATTCAAACAAATGATTGTTTGTAAATCCATCGCTAACATAAGATTAAGACATTTTGAATGAGAAATATAATTTATTATTATTATCTTAGGCAATGTGCAATGACCTGTTTTCGCGGAGAAAAAAAAATTCAGGCCTCATAATTTTTTAATATAAATCAGCCCACCCTTATACATGGTTCATTAAGGGAAAAACACTGAATTAAAGCAGAGTTTCTCATCATGGGTATTTAACCTAGTTTTTAGGTAGATTGGCTAATATCAAATGAAGAGATCACTCTAAAACTTCCCTCTGCATCATTTTATAGATAACTCATCACATTATTCACTATTTACATTCTAACACTAAACCTGTCTTGCAATAATTGTAAGGGTCCAAAAAAAACCATTAAAAAAACAACTATATATAACATATACGTTTAATTTATTCATATTGTCCTGGTTTTTCAAGGATATTTCCCTGCTCTTCATATTTTACGATTCTAGAGTTAAAATTTTTTTTTTTTTAAATCTTGTCTTGTGTATTTTTAGAAATTCTAAGTAATTTAGAATTATTTCACATAGTTATACCGAAACATGAATTTGTATTAAATGTAGAATATTAACAGAGAGAGGCTTATATCAGCAAACTTTTCCCATTCATGGCACACCAGGACTCCTCCCAGATTTCCAAGACACACCAATATTAAAACATGAAAAAAAAACAGATTTACTGTTGTTCACATGTACTAACATTACATTTTTTTTTACATTTGTATTTCTTATAGTTACATACATGAAATTAAAATGATCACGTAGATCTTTGATACCAAGTGATTCAAAATAGTTTTTCACCAGTTAAGCTGGCATTTCAATAGAGCAGATTATAAGGAAAATATATTTTTATAAAACTGCTTACACAAATTAAAAGATTTAAATTTAATAATGTCTAATGGAATGTTTAAGCAGCTATTACCAACCTACTTATGACATTCACATGTAAAGCTACAATATTTATTTGAATGCCAAAAATGATTAAAAAAAATACACAAAAATAATAATAAAATAAAGCAATTTTTTTTTCAAATGTATCGCATGATATACACATGATTGATAGTATCAAGAGATCAGACGAAAGATATTTTTGGTACCATTTTTTTTTTCATTTTTAATTGCTTTAGCAGTTTAAATAGTTTACATAGTTTTAATAATTGTAAAGCGCTTAGAGCTGTAAGGTAAGCGCTAGGGGTGTGCCGGAACCCGGTCCGGAATCCGGTTCCGCCGGATTTTGCACTATCCGGTGAAATCCGGTTCCGCCGGATTTACATGTATCCGGAACAACCGGATTCCGGAATCCGGAATATACCGGATTTCGGAATTTGCCAAATTTTGTGACTCACCGGATCATAATCTGAAATAAAAGTAATTCTCTTTCCCGAATTCCACACGATCACGATACATTAATCGATTGTTTCGAGCGTTGAGCTTGTTTAATGTTTAATATTCCGTACATACCAGAGGCTAGAGTCAGCACCGCTAATAGTGGCCAATAGTGTAGGGACTTTGATAAGAAAATTTAAACTTTTTGTAAAAATAAACCAATGGCATAGTTGAAAAGATGTAATTTTTTAAAGAATTATAACACCAAAATCATATTTTTAGCTGTTGTAGTTTTAAAGTTATGAATTTTTAAAGTACGACTTGGTTTGTCATTTTTTAACATGGACTGCATCTCCACATTCTGTGATCTCATTCCGCCAATCCCGTCATGCGCAATGACTATATAGTTTATATAAGGCAACGCATTCCCTGCCTTATCACTAAAATACTGTTTAGACTTAGTTTAAACTTTCAACTTTGGCACATGAATAATTAATTAAAGCTTTCCCTGACCAATGGTTTAATAGTTTTTGCACACGGCAAACTCTTATGAATGAAACTCTGAGGTAGTACTACGATACAGTTATGCAAGTGGCTGTGAATGGTTGCCAATGACAACGTGTTGCACACGGTAAATTCTGATCATTTATAATATGGATTCTACCGGGTTGTTAAAGCTCAAATTAAAACATTCCAGTTTAAATGTCTTTAAATGCATTCTGAAACACAAGTTATCAATTATTTTGATGTAAATAGTGATAATATATTAATATTTCCTAAATATCGTCAACTTCCGCCATTAAAAAGGGGGGCGTGGCCAACCCCATGGCGAAATTAGGTTGAGCGAGCTGCATGGCCTGCTGCGAACGCGTAGAAACATGGCGTCTCTCGTAAGACACTTATCCAAATGGAACGGAACTCAAATATATATCGAAAGTACTAATTTAATAATAAATAGACACACAATCGGAAAATTAAAAACTCGGATTTTTTGGCGCCGATTGCGAATTCCCATACACAAAAAGTAGTAGTCCACCTTGACTTACCGAAGTATCTACCAATAGTACCAAAATCCGGAATCCGGGAGAAACCGGAATCCGGATTATTCCGGAACCCGGATTATTCCGGAATCCGGATTATTCCGGAATCCGGATCCGGCGGATTTCGCATAAGAAAATCCGGATCCGGTTGGAAAAAACGGATCCGGCACACCCCTAGTAAGCGCTATAAAAAAATGCCTAAATAATAATAATAATAATAGCCTCAGTTTGGACAAGATGGGGCTTAGTTTGTGTTTTTTGTTTGTTTGTTTTTTGGTGATGAAATGTTATTTCGGCAGTGTAAAAAAAAATGTTAGCAACCAGCAGTCTACACCTAATTGAAGTATTAAACAGTACAGATGTGAAAAGCGTGCAATCAAAGCAAAAGGGACATATTTGACTGGTCAAAGCTTCAGACACATGGGATGGTGACTTGTCATATGACCCATTGAATTTAAATATACTGATGTGCTGTTATGTGCTATTTGACTTCCAATGTTTGAAAATTTTTTATTTGGCCAATCATTGCCCCCTTTGATTTGACAAATTTATATCCCCTTCGTGTATTTTTCATCCCCTTAAGGAATTTGTAGCAGCACATCTACCATCACCTCTTGACACACCGGTTACAGACCTCCGGCTTATATAATAACAATTAACAATCTGTCATTTTCTTAAAATTCTCTCAGTCCAGATGTTTCCTGAACAGATGAGAACATGGATGATGTGCCTAGTGGAGTAACACTGTATTCAGATTTCTCAAAGGGCCTCAGCAAAACAATCTTGTTTCTTTTCCGTCTTGCCTGGTACTCTAGAATCAGACTTCCAGCTTATTTAACCTTTATATTTCTAGCTGCTGATATCAGGCTTAGTGTTGAAATAGTGATTGGGGAGCAGCCATTAAATGAAGCTGAAGATGATCCTGCATAAAACATAATTTTTGTCAGTGTTGGCAAGGAATTTTCTGCCTGTTAGCATTTATTCATGACATCTTTCATGCTGCATATTTGCATATCATCTACTTAAAAAAAATATAATAGCCTTGGATTCATGGCTTCATTGTTATTGAAGCTTTATCAGTTTGTTTAAATCTGGAAGTTTATTACTGAAGAAACATGAGTAGAGGAGTTCGCGATTTAAGAGACCTTATCTGTGTCTCAAGACTGACATTCCATGAAAGTGAAGAAGAAGATATATTTTCTGATTATGATGGAACTTTAAGCAATGAGAAAAGTTTTTCTTGTACAAGTTCGCAATCAGATAATTCTAAATCTGACAGTCCCCTGGACTCTACAGATGTTGTTTCTCCAGATTCAGGCTGCATCACAGAGTCTCCTGTTACGAGCACTTCTCAGAGTGCTTCTGTTGACCGATTTGAGAATGAAGATAACCTCTTCATGACTGGTCTTCAAAATAAGATAAAAGACACAAAATTGTCCCTTTCTTTGGACAATGCAAAGTTAATTAAAAACCCAAGGAAAAAGAAGAAAAAGTCAAATATCTCCCACAAGCCCATGAGGCACGATCTTCCAAAGCCTGCTCCTTTGCCACCAGTTCAGAGTTCTCCAAGCAAACTTAGCAAACTTGGAGAACATAAGCTGGATATTAACCAAAGTAAAACTGTCACTGCCCCATCACAGAATCACCAACCTAGCAAAGTAAAGACTCGTATACATTTTGATGATATTTTGACATTTATGGATGCTACTATTGTTGCAAATTGGCTGAAGCGATCTAATGAAGCTATTCAAGAACTTGCTAAGTTCTGCAACAGTGGGGAAAATTTCATCCAGTTTGCCCATTTTTGGCTCTCCGATTTCCCAGATTTTCAGAAGAAAGATATATTTTCAATGGAATATGACATATTGTTAGACGAAATAGAATTAGCACTAGTTGTTGGGCGTGAGAGTAAGCAGGTGGAGAGGCGTGATATTTTAGACATGACTGGAGCAGTTTTCAAGGAGTATCCAGTCAGATTAATGGGCTCTCAAGGTCCTCACATGTTCCTAGACTATTTGGAAATTCTTACATCAGGAAAACATGATCAGTATAAGAAACTGCTCTCTGATGTTCGATGCTCTACTTCTAATCGTCAGTATGCACAATGGCTTCTGGCTACTCGTTCCTTTGCCTTAGTTAATGTATGGTCATCTGTAGTCAATTTTTATCGCAATCTCTTGGGTGTTGTGACATCCCAGGACAAATCGTCTAGTGATCAAGGCTCATCAAAAGAACTGTCTCACAAGAGAATAGTGCAATCATTACGGTAAGTTCTTTAAAATATCATTTTTGATGTTATGTGTTCATATTTTATTTGAAAAGCGCAATATGTTTCAATAAGTGTGTCACTAACTAATGACAAAATATGCTTAAAATTTTTTTAAACAAAGAGGTTCAAATTGCTACAAATAATATTTTAATAATAATAATAATAATAAAGTTTATTTGAAAAACACGCTTCATCCCCAAAAGCTCGAAGCGCGGTACAAAGTCAACCATATTATAAAGAGAAATAAAGACAATCTGAAATTTGCCACATTTAAAAAACAGACGCAACAATATAAAACTACATACGAGCATACCAAGTCAAAGTCTTTCATTTACAACTAAATTATTATTTTGGTACCATCGTTCAGCAATGCTGATATCAGGTATACACTGTGTCGGAAAAAAAAAAATACCCATTTGATAATGATTGGTCAGTGGAGAGCCAATCTTGAAGCCAGTGTTGTAGCTAAGCATGGACACTTTGAACACAAACTGTAATTTAATAAAATTGAAAATCATGTTAGAACTACATTAAGTTTCATCATTAAAAAAAAAATTGATAAATATTTAACATTTGTTTATTAGTTTTCATAATTATAAAAAGAGTTCCCTTTTTTTCCGGATACAGTGTGTGTGTATATATAAAATATATTTTATATATACTAGCTATAGCCCACCAAACAATGGCAGCCTCAATGCATTAACTTCTCATCTTCAAAATTTTACTTGAAAAAACATGTAGTTAAGATTCCCAATTAGCGCTTCCCCATCCCACCCCCCACTATCCTTCCGAACTCTATTAATATTAATATTCTAATGTTCCAACCATGTTTGCAAGCACATTTATTACACCAACTTTTTCTGTAACACAAAACAAAAAAATATTACATACCATTTGGACTTGCAGTATTTTTAAGAACCTCATTTAGCGCAGATATAATATCAGTAATTTTATTATGTGCTGTTTTTTTTAACATCTGGTATCTTTAGTGACTAGTTAATTGGGACATAGAGAATATATATATATATATAATAATAATACTAATAATAATAATTCGCCAGGAGGTCTGGTCAGTTGCAACAGAGTTAAGGGGTAGAAAATTTGAAACGGCCTTTGAATTATATTACATCTCTTGAACTTTGATAATCCAATTTATTTTTCACTCAAAAGCATTAGAGCTGGAATTTGACGATAGAACAAGGAAAAATTGGTAAACATTAATTTTGGAAACGTTAACTAAATCGCATACAATTAAACAACATACATTTGTGAGATGTATAAAAAGATTTGTGTTTTATAAAAACAATATTTCATTTTGTGGGGGTAAATAAATTTTAACCATTTAAAATGGCAATACTTTAATGACTATCAGTACTGCAAAAATTGAAAGGGTGGAAAGGTTGGGTAATGAAGTCCAAAAAATTAGAATCAGGCTGGACAAGGTGGGGGAACATAGTGCACATTGGCGAATCCCAAAAATAGAAATTCAGGTAAATCCCAAGTCAAAACAAGCCCCCCCAATAGAATCATGCCATATTATACATATGCCATGCGGTTGTGTTGCCCCAGCTAGTATATGAATTACTAAATTTATGTGCTACACATAAAATTATGTTTTCATATTCCTTAACAGCACCAACCTCCACCCCCCAAACGCATGATTGGACACCACCCTATGCATTCATAAAATTACCTACTACCCAAAGCTATTTAATGCTTTTAATTTATTTATTAATTACTTTTTTTTACCCAAATGACAGCAGTTCTGTTTGATAAAACTTGTTATTTGATATTATTTTTGTTTTAAAATTTTTGTGAAGACGGATCGTAATACCTTGACATTTATTGAATTAAATTAGGTCCTGATTTTTTAAAGATATTAGCAATTAAAAATGAAGATCTTTATTAAAGGTCTGTGGAACATGAATGAAAATCAGTAATGAAAGAGATTATAATTTTTGTGCGTAGCTGAAACAACAGTCAATTACACCAGTGTAATGCTTCTGCATTGGCTTTTGTGCATTAAAAAAATATATACTGTTGGGTATATGCACTAGGAGGGCTATGAAAATATGTGCTTACAACAATAGTGACAGGGCTGTGTTAACATTCTTTAGTTGTCATAGTTTTTGTATGCATTTGTATTGCCTGGTGCATTCTATTAATAATGTACTTGCATCCCCCCCCCCCCAACACATTTTCCTCTGTGCCTCTGTAATGTAGGGATGGCCCCTTAAAAGTTACTTGTTAATTGAAAAAATGCTGATGATTAATTGAGATTTTTTTCTTTACACTGAACACTTTCAAGGTTGGGCTTAACAGATGTAGTTAATTACTTTCTTGTAAGCGGCCATGTAAAATCTACATATTTAGACCCTCACAGAAAATCTTTGCTCTTCCTTGCTGTAATGTATACTCAGCCAGAAGTTGTCAAATACTTGCTGACTAAGGTAAGTTAAAAAATATTTTTAAATATGCTAAATATTTACAGATATATTTAGAATAAATTACATTAATATTTTTCAGGCTTTCCAACATTCATATTAAGAAAAATATCTGGAGGGATAAATTTACATATTTTTTCTCTCTAGCATTTAAATAAAAAAAAGTTTAGAAAATAGATTTTCTGCTGTTAGAAAATAGATTTTCTGCTGTCACATCTTACAATCAGCCAGTGTTTAATTAGACTTTGTGGCTCAGCATAGTACAGTAATTTGTCACTAGTAAAATGTTAAATACTTGACTTATCAAAGGCAACCTCTTGTGTTATCAGGTAAATCCAGCCATAGATGTCAACCAGGCAGCAGACAATGGCAACACAGCATTGCATGCCGCTGTCAACAGTGGCAGTCTGACCATTGTCAGTATGTTGTGTGAGAGCGACAGCCTTAATGTCAACTGTGTCAACAAACAGTGTGACGGTGCTACTCCTTTACACTTGGCTGTCATGCATGGTATGTAGTATTTTTAGGCCTTATAATGAAATGAAAAATTATTATCATTATTTTTCCTCTGGAAAAGATGGATATGTTTTTCCAGTGAATTTTTTTTATTTTGCGCTTAATTCAGGTTAATGGTTAGCATTATTTTTTGTATAAATTTAAAAATCTTGGCAAAAAATCTATGTGATGCTTTCACTTGATGTTTATAAAAGCATACTGATCTTATTCCTGCTAATTATGAACAAATGTCATAAAAAGACGAAATGATGATTGACATAAAGTATCTCTATTTTCTAGGACACACCGATATTGTGGATTGCCTTTTGAAACACAATTCTAATCCGCTGCTAAAAATGGCTGACAAAACAGCAGTAGAGCTAGCCAGGGACTTCAACCAAAGTGAAATTTTGAATATACTAGAAAACAAACTTGGAGTAATAACTGTTAAAGAGATATAATCTGTGTGACTTTCTTAACAACATTGTTGTAGATCAATCATTTTGATCAAAGGTGTGAGCATTTTTTGTTGTTTTGTTTGTCTACTATTTAGCAAACTGTGCCCTGTGATATGATACACTTTTAAACATTTTACCTTGAGAATGCAGAGTACTTTAATAAACAAGTATGATCTCATCAGCTGTTGGTTGTCATTATCTTGTAAAATGCTCTTTAGGTTTTTATGTAACGTGACACCTATTAATTAAATTTTCAATGAATCAGATGGACATTTTGGAAAAGCATAAGAGTAAGATTAGGCTTCAATCTTAAACTTAAAATCTAATTTGTGCAGGTGTAATTATGATCAATACGTTTTAGAAGTCCCAAGATTTAGGCTTACTAATTATAAGAAAATGGTGCATGTAAAATTTAAAGGGGCTGTGTAGGTATTTTTAATGATACCTCCCAGAAATCACATAAATGGTAGGGCTCATCATCAAGTTGAACAAATATTTTGAGTAAATATGCATACGGCATGAATGAACATCACAAGATTTCACTGATTTTTGCAAATTGACTTGTAAACAAATTATTAGTCTCAATGAGGACATCAGATGTGTGCAATGTTTTAATATTTTTCAAATGATTCTTTTTTAAATTTGAGATGCTAATCAAAAGCATTAAGCAAAGTTTGACAGAAAAATTATATTTAAAGTACCCCACTTAAAAAGCATGCCCTTAAAAAATGTGTAAAAATAAAAATATGCATCTTCTTCCTAGAATTGTGTTTGCTAAGAGCTTTTTAAACTACAGAGGAGTTTAACCATCATCAATAAATGCCATCACAATTCACTATTTCTAAATTTCACTGTGGATAGAAGACCGCTGCAGCTCTTCCCATGATCTTAAAAGTGGTGCACTGCTCACCCTTTCTCAAAAAACATTTGTATGCAGGCATCAACAACCAGTGTTGATAAGAAAAGGGCTTAAAACTTAGGGCTGATTTGCAAGCTATTGATGACCATACTGATCACAAGGAACTATTCAGTAATTATAAAGCTGAGTACTATTGTGATTACTATAGAATAAAATTATTTACATTTATGATCGTTTCCAAATTAAAGCAGCTGTGACCATTATGTAGGTGCATCATTTTAAAGTGACTCCAACTGAAATTTTACCCGGTATTAATTTTTTTCTGTAACATTGTTTGGCTAGATTTTAGCTTATAAAAATAAGGTCAGACAATGTGTTCTTTTCTGTTCTGCTATTTAGCAAAAAAGTGGCATATATAAGTAAGCTTTTTTGCCAGTTTTAAGGAACTTGCACCAAGGCATATTTTCCCACACGTTCATTGTTTTCCTCATGAATAGACTGAAAGAGATTTTAAAAATATATTTTTGCCACTGTTGCACCTGTTTATATGCAAAAAATTGTATACCTGCCGCACATGTAAATCTAACTAGTATGCACATCTTGTTTGTGCCACAGTATGATATTACTCAACAGGCTCCACATATTACCCTGATTGAAGATATTTTGCATTGTAAAAATGTGCGCTCCATCTCTGAAAATAAATGGTGTATTGTTGACACTTTTAGATTGTGATTTGATATTATTATCAATAAACATCGCTCCAGACCAACAGTTATTTTTTTCTCAATATTTTTGTTTCATCACTTAATATATATCCCATTACAATTACATGTATTATTATTACTTATTACAATTTATAGCCCGCCAAAAAAGGCAATGCATGTATTTCCCATCGACTAAAGTTACTCAACAAAACATGCATTTAAGTAGTGCACTTTTATTTTAAGAATCCCAATTAGTGCTTACATCTAAATAACAAAAACAAGTTGATAAGAAAGACTAAAAATATGGATGACAAAATGTTAGACAAAGTAGATGGACAAAACAAAAAGAAAGAAAGCAACACAAAAAAAAAAAAAAAGAGGCAAAGATTTTTTTTTTTAAATTAAAAAAGAAAAATAAAAAAAAAAAAAAAGTTAAAAAAAAAAAATAAAAAAAAGGAAGAAAAAAAGTTAAAAAAAATAAAAGGAAAAAAAAAAAAAAAAAAAAAAAAAAAAAAAAAAAAAAAAAGGTGGCAGTGATTTTTTTTTTTAATTTATGAAGGAATAATTAACATTACTTTGAAACTTAAAAAAATACAATAAGTATAGTATTATATATGCACTTTTATTTATTTATGGATATATATATTAAAAAAAAAACATCATTTAAAGTATCTGTTTCAGCCATTAAAAAAAAATGCACAATGTATTGATCTTTAAAAACTGTTATGGTTTTTTAAATAGTTAAGATATTAATTTTCGGCTGCCTACTTTTTATTTAATTTAAATTTAAAGTCAATGCTGAAACGACCTGAGGGCAGTGGGTGGTCACTTTAATAGGCACTAATGCTTCCAAAAGTGTGTCTCATGTTGACATTAAGAAATGTGCAAACAAGGGCCGGCCCTCATAAAATGATAAATGGCACCCTCTTTCGTGCTACCAGTATGTGAAAACTATAAAAAAAAAAAAAAGAGGGGGAAATACAACTTTTAATACAAATATCTAAATCAAATAAATAAATACCTACTTCAATACATGTATGCCAACTAAAACACAGAAATAAACACATGGTCCAATACATTGTTCCTAAAACTGGAAATTTCTGCAGAAAAAGGTAAACATATAGTTGGAGGGGAAATATATATTTTGATATTTACACATTTACAGCTGGTCATTATTTTGCTGTGTGGAGAGATAAGTGAGGTAATTGTAAGATATAATATAAATAATTGAATCAGACACACTATAAGCGAGGGGATTGTAATGTATAAATAATTGAATTAGGTATTGTATGGGGAGGTAATTTTATGAAATAGAGTGAGGTACTGTATTGGTGAGGTGATTGTGTAATGTTATTGAACGAGGTACTGTATTAGAGAGGTGATTTTTATAATATTATAGAATGAGGTACAGTACTGTATTTGTAAGGTGATTGTATAATAATCATGAATGAGGTACTGTGCTAATGAGGTAATTGTATAATAATATAGAATGAGGTACTATAGCAATGAGGTAATTTATTATATAATTTAAACATGTAAACTATGGAATACTAAAACAAATAAGTGGATTCAATTAATACAGTTAAGATCAAACAACTTGTTAACAATTGAGTACTAAATGTAGTTACACAGTATAATGTTTTCAAAGCGACCATCAATCAATTATTATAAATTTAACAATAACTAGTAACAGTTTTGATCTCATATTTTAATGGATTAAAGTAAATTATAAAATTTAATCGTTTATAATTGTTATATTTGAGTAGTGAAAACTCTTGGTGAGCTCTTGTGTTGTGAAATGTGCATAAAGCATAGGCCCTACTGCCTGGAGTTGTAAAGTCAGCTCGTTATAGCTATACTCTATACATGGGCGCCCGCAGAAAACTTTCCAGGGGGGGGGGCAAAAAATCGATTAACTTTCNAGGGGGGGGGGCAAAAAAATTTTAAATAATGTTTTAATATAGTTTTAATTTACTGTAGCGTATTTGTATGGTGAACGAACGGACAGGACATCAGCTTAGTTACTTTCTCTTTATTTTCTCTTTACTTTAATACAATTTTTGTCTAAAAAATTTTCATCCAATCAATCCAGGGGGGGGGGGGGCAAGTGCCCCACCTTGCCACTACCAAGTGCCCCACCTTGCCACTACCTGCGGGCGCCCATGACTCTATACTGTGTAGGGCCATACTGTTGTTCGCCAGATATGGACGTTTGAAGTTCCTTGGGGACATGAGCATAAATGCCAACCTATCGGGATCAAATACTATACAAAAAGTCATTTTAAAAATGTACAACACCATTAAAAAACGTACAGAATGAAAATTAGAAAAAAAATATTTGTAAATATTTCGTCATTTAATTATTAATGATTTGAATGCAAAATTAAAGCAAAATTTTTGTTAGACCTAATTTTCCTGACTAATCTCCCCTTCTCGCCGCGCGTGATTTTGCAAGTTTAAATCTGGAGATATCGCAGCATTTTAAAAACAGAAATAGCATTTTTAAGTCAGATTTTCTTCAGATTTTTAGTTGTTGTTGTGTTGTTGTTGTTTTTTACACTGGCCAATAGCAATTTTTTTTAAAAATGTGGTCTTACTTGATGAATTTTACTTGAGATGTAATTGGATATATCCTTCGGCTATTTATGCTAGCTGTAGTAACACGGATTCCTATATTTAAATTAATAAATGGAAATCCATTGTGTAAGTCTTGTGAAAGTTGACCATCAATTTATCGCCTTATTTTTAACGCTATTTAAAAAAATAAATATTTTTTCGTTTTTGTTTTGTTGTGTTTATTGTTTTTACTATGGCCACACTGTTGAATATTGAAAGTTATAATGCTAATTGCATACACTGATTTGTAATCGTGGTTTACCACTCTAAGTATAGCTACCGAACAACGCTGTAGAATAAATGAATGCTATCAGGGGTGGACTGGGGAGTTTAAGCGGCCCGGGAAAAAATCAAAGCGGCCCGGGAAAAAAACAAAAAGCGGCCCGGGAAAAAAACAAAAAGCGGCCCGGGAAAAATCAAAGCGGCACGGGAAAAAAACAAAAAGCGGCCCGGGAAAAAAAACAAAAAGCGGCCCGGGAAAAATCAAAGCGGCCCGGGAAAAAAACAAAAAGCGGCCCGGGAAAAATCAAAGTGGCCCGGGAAAAAAACAAATAGCGGCCCGATCGTCATGACTTTTATTTGAATTATATCACCGGTCCTAGCGGCCCATCGGGAATCTTCCCGCTGTCCCGGCGGCCCAGTCCACCCCTGAATGGCATTGCCTTAAACGAAGCCCTGCTCATTTTCTAAATGTATTCACTTCTAAATTTAGATGGCCTACTTATTCCAGACGTTTACTCAAAGGTCATTTTGAACGGACAAAATGGGATCTCAGCTCCCCGTGGACCAACATTGAACTCATTGCACTGGCAGTTATGATTTTCTAACCTATGTCGTCAATGTCGTGTGTAAAAAAAAAATATTTTCTTCTTAATTCAGAGAAAACCCGTATAGTATCCTGTTCGGCCGTACAATGGGGAAAAAATATGTTTAAACCGTGTACACATTTAACTGCGGTAAAATCGTACAGGTTAACATGTACTCATGGGATGGTCATCAAACTTGAGTAAAGGGAGTGATCACCATACTTTAGCCCTGACATATTACGGGACTTGTCCCCAGAGTTTGCGTACATTTTCAGCGTATTCGTGGCTGTAAAAAATGGGCCTTTCCCCTAATTTCCCAGCTCCACTTCCCTCATTGCCTCTTTACTTATCTTCTCCACCATAAATATTTCTTCTCAACACCCTCCACCCATTCCCAAGCATCACCCTGTCTCTCCGGTATTGGGGGGTGGGGGGTGGGGGGGGGGGAAGGGAGTTGATGATGATATTATACGTCATTTATGAGTATCGCTTAGCCGCAATGAAAATTCAGTGCTTGACACCGAATACAAATATCGTTTATAAAGTATCGGCTATAATAAGATTATGTTAATCGAAGTCGTAATCGTATACATAAACGCATTTAAAAAATATTGCCAGGCGTAAAACTATCCGATTCCGTAGCTATGTTTGGAAAACGTTCAACGTGCAAAGTCGTACAACAATCTAACAACCATACATTTTTTTGGTAGTAATACAAATTTTACAATCTGATTAATCCATTGTTATCTTAATCGGAGAACTATTTATTTGTTTTTATCGGTAGAAAAAAAAAGGCAGAGGCTTAATAAGAACTAATAGTTTTTAGCTATGAAAATATATGTAAATCTAGAATTTTTAAATATTGCGTGTCTAAACTTAAAAAGGCTTTAAAAACGATTCAATACCACCACCAAATAGTGCATTAAAAAAGCGAATTAATTATAATATTTTTTAAAAAATCACACCAAAAAAAAAAAAAAAAAAAAAATTTTAAAAAAAAAAAAAAAAAAAAAAAAAAAAAAAAAAAAAATAAAAAACGAATTAAATAAAAAATTTTTTAAAAAAACACCACAAAAAAAAAAAAAAAAAAAGATTTTAAAAAATTACAACAACAAAGAAACAATCCACATGCCAATTACTTCGATGTTGAGGCCATATATGTAAATAGTATGTACACAAATATCGGTCAACTTTGAAGAACGTGTTTGAACTGTAAGCATGAAGGGCCACTGAACGGAGACAGCGTTTCGAAATCATCCAGCCTTTGGTCAAATCTTCCAGAGAGTCCATCCGTTACTGGGCCGGCCTGCGACGGGGGCTGCGTGGCGTCTGTTGTGGTGGTCTTCTTGGTCGCGGTGGTTGGGTTCGGATTCGAGGTGGGCGTTGGATGTTTGTGTGACTTGATTCAGCGGCGTCCGTTGGCGCATCCGAGTTGCAGTCCGAGCTGAAGGCGAGGTAGATGCCTGCCTGGCACCCCATCTGATTGCCGAGTGGTACACACTTTCCTCCAATCCGCTGAGTCTTGGCGTGGAGAAGAGACAATAACGTTATGCGATTACGATAAGAGTCAATAACGTTAGGCGATTACGAGAAGAGACAATAACGTTAGGCGATTACGAGAAGAGACAATAACTTTATGCGATTACGAGAAGAGACAATAGCGTTAGGCAATTAGGTCCACGGGTACAACTTCGATATCTTTCAATAGGGGACTTTGAAAATCATATCTTATCCTTCATTTATAAACATTTATTATAACCATTTCAACACATGCTATTAATATGTAATACTTTTCATATCAAAGTAATGTAAGGGAAAGTAACATGCTAATTAAACAATCCCTAAAAAAATAGTTGTTCGGATAGGTCCTTTGTAGGCATTTTTAATTTTTGTTTTTTAAAACATCATATAAATATTCTACCCGCTTTTACACCGCAGATTTATTTCACCGACTATTTCAGAAAAACAAAAGAAAATATTACGCACCAAATGCACTTGCGATAGATTTTTTAAAAAGAATCTCATTTGTGATTTAGCGCACTTAGCGGGAATTTTATTTCATGAAATTAGTGGCATCATATTTCCTTCATCTTCCAATTGAAAAACAGGTCAAACTGATTTATTAATTTTTTATTTTTTTTTTGGAAAAATGAAAAAAAGGGGGGGGGGGGTGAGGCTGAAAATTTGAGAGAATATTGTGTCATCGGAAAGGGGGCTGATGGGTTGAGGGGAAGTGGGTCAATAAGCCGTCCGAGGTTTTTGCCCTAAATATCATCATATTTCCTTCATCTTCCAATTGAAAAACAGGTCAAACTGATTTATTAATTTTTTATTTTTTTTTTGGAAAAATGAAAAAAAGGGGGGGGGGGTGAGGCTGAAAATTTGAGAGAATATTGTGTCATCGGAAACGAGTCTGATAGGTTGACGGGAAGTGGGTCAATAAGCCGTCCGAAGTTTTTGCCCTAAATACACAAAAGCGAAGTTTATATAAAGAATTTAAACATGTGTCACATCATGTGTGTGAAACTACGGCCCACTGAAATGTCTATTTCGTCCCATAAGACCTTCTAGGCAATGGATTAATGTTTTCGTTACATAAATAAAGATAAATGAAGACATGGTGACAGAGTATCTGTAAAACGCGTTTGAAGTTAATAAATAGTCTAGAGTCCACATTTCTCCCCCGGGAAAATGGTGATACTTTTAAATTACAAGGATTCATTTTGGCGCATGTCTGAACTTTGCTTGGCATTAATCGACACTTAATAATAAAAAAAGCAACAGATAAATGCTATTATTCGTTTATAAAAATATTTTAAATGGTTACTAGTCTATATTAGTAATGTTCTTTTTTAACTATCATTCAAACTATTTTAAAACTTTAAAACTTTTTAGTTTGTTTTAAAATCATTGAAATTATAATTTAAATATTACAGAGATTTATTTGGCTTAGATTTAGATTAATAATGAACTGTACTTACAATTATATGTAAGTCATCACAATGGTTGCATTTAAGCTTAATTATATTAAAGGGCTGGTTATCCTGGGCCCTCACTTCTGGAAATTATAATTATCATTTTTTTTAAAAAATTTTTTACTCCCATTACAATTTAATTGACTTTATTTGCGCCGATGAGGCCTTAAGCATACTTTAAAAAAAAAAATTGTTTTCTTATAGGCCTGTATTATTCCAGCCGTCGCATAGGCCTATATAGAGCTTGTTATTTCATGTCACCCCACATCATCAAAAGAAAATATCTCAGAAAGTTCCCTCTTTGATGTCTATCCCCTAGTTCAGGCCTGCACAACATACGGCCCGCGAGACTCACGCGGCCCAGCAAGATTCACTGTGTGGCCCGCAAAGACTTTAGTTATAATTCATTATATTATAAACTAAAAATAATAATCCCCATTTTATAGATTTATATTACGAAACGTTATATATAAAGAAAAATAATATAAATATTTATTTCATTTTTAAATAATCAATAACATTTTATTAATTTTTTTAACACCCCCCCCCCCTTTTCCCCACGTATACTTGAAATGATTGTTTAAAAAAAAAAATCAAATTAAATTACAAAATATTTATCGTTCTTCATTACATGTCTTTTTAAATAAGTACAAAAATCTTTACGAAGTTGCACTAAAAACTTCAGTGTATTTGGAATCACTTATACATTCTGTGAACAGACATTTTCAATAATGAACATCACTAAATGCAAGCAACGCTCATGTCTGAGTGATGATCATTTGGAAGATATATTGAGAACAGCCACTTCCAATACATCTGAATACGATAAACTTGTTACCGAAAAACGATGCAATGTGTCATTTTTAAATTTACTTCGCAAGTAACGAAAAAAAATAAAAAAATTTTCTCAATAGCTTTCCCCCCCCCTGTCCCATTTTCTTTCGACCCGCACAAGTTTTACGGCTCGTCTTACATTTTGAGTTGTGGAGGCCTTCTCTAGTTGATGACTTGTTTTTTGTTGTTTTTTTCTACTTCGCTTTAAATATATATATATATATATATATACTATTTGAATTTAACTTGGTCAGAATAAAAGTCCAATAGCACTAAGAATTTCGCCTATTTGAGTTCCGATATCTCATATTTTGATATTCAAATAACATTCTGTCTCATTCGCCGAAAAGCCCCCCCCCCCAACCCCNAAAAAAAAAAAAAAACCGCCAGGGGCGGACCATCCCCCAAAGCCCCCCCCCCTTCCTACGTTACTGTATGTCCTACTTTATAAGGTGTCATTCAAAATTCTCTTGCTTCTAGTGTGGAGTCGTATACCCCCTCCCCCCCCCCCACACCCCCCAGTCCATCTCGTAAATTAGTTTCTGGCTTAAAGTGTGTTGAGTCTTACCACGGGTACATCCACATGACAGTTGACATCCTCTAGCCGGGGTGTGGTAGGGGTGTAGCGCAAAAGATCCTCTTCGCTGCCGTTGATGGTGGGCAGAAACTCTCTGAGCATTGTGCTGTTGGGCTGAGAAGGAAGGATAAAGCCATGCATTATAATGTGGTATACACACGGATGAGTAGCCAGCGGCACAGCAGCGCCAAGGGGGAGGAAGGGAGGGGGGCTCAGACCTAGAGACCATGAGGGCGCACGAAGCCCTCCGATGCTCATGATAACAATGATAATGATCAAAACTATCAATGGTGGCTAGTAGAAACAAAGACAGTGCTACTAATAGTCCGGCCACCGGTGACGTGTTTGCTGATAGAAACAAAGAGAGTGCTACTAACAGTCCGGCCAGCTGTGACGTGTTTGCTGATAGAAACAAAGACAATGCTACTAACAGTCCGGCCACCGGTGACGTATTTGCTGATAGAAACAAGGACAGTGCTACTAATAGTCCAGCCACCGGTGACGTATTTGCTGATAGAAACAAGGACAGTGCTACTAATAGTCCAACCACCGGTGACGTATTTGCTGATAGAAACAAGGACAGTGCTACTAATAGTCCAACCACCGGTGACGTATTTGCTGATAGAAACAAAGACAGTGCGACTAATAGTCCAACCACCGGTGACGTATTTGCTGATAGAAACAAGGACAGTGCTACTAATAGTCCAGCCACCGGTGACGTGTTTGCTGGGCTTGCGGTTTCGCTATATCGTATTGATATTGGTGAGCACAAAGTATATCATCAAGATTATGTACCAGTTCTAAAAATAGTGATTGACATGATGTAGTTGGGAAAAAAAGACTAACTCGCCAAAGGCATTATCCCATGGCTACGTAAGGATTAAGACGGCTTTGGATGCCATTGGTGAAGATGTGAATCAAGAGCCAGAGACAATTCACGAGGACAAATATCTGCGATATGATCTAACAAGGAAGGAACATGTCATTATGGTCAGCCTTCTGGGCTGTAATCCTGGACCTTAAAAAGGGTACATTCTTGGCAAATTATATAAAAAAAAATAGAAAACTTAATCTTCCAGTATAATGTAAGTGGCGACATGTTAAATGTCATGTAATAGGTGACATATTTAATGTCATGATTGAAATTGTTACTGACAACTTTAAGACACCAATTATGAAAAAGAACAACTATTTCAAAAATGACCACCTTTCTAGTTTTTAAGGCGGCGACCCCCACAGAAATCCCTTCGTAACCCAATTTGACGTGAACGGGGTTTCCTGTCCTGGGATAAGGACGATGAGCGTTAACCCTGGATCGGGAAAACCCCCGGGAAATGAGAAGCCCTGAGGGCTTATTAAAAAAAAAGTTCGTTCTCTATTTTTTTTATTTTTTTTTTTTTTTTTGTTGGGGGGGGGGGGGGGGGGGGGGGGGGGGAGTCGTTGAATTCCAAAGGATGACAAAATCCAGGAATGAAAAGATAAAAAAAAAAGCAGCCCAAAGATTTTGAGAGAACTTTCGTGTTGACATTGAGTTGGAGATTCTGTATTTCATGTATTTCATGTATTTCATGTATTTCATGTATTTCATGTCACACTTTAAAGATTATCATAAAAACATGTCGCAATCAGAAGAATGCATTTTTAAAAAAATTTTACACAAGAAATCTTGACATAGTTATAACGACGTTGAGAATTCTACAGGCACGTGCGTAGAAAGGGTCGGGCGGGGGGGGGGGTGAGCCACCCCGGTTACGCCTTTTCCTATACATAATTAGGGGGCTGTATTTTCTTACAACTGCAGAGTTTTTAGTGGGGAAACTATCTCGACCGGCCATGGGGTCAGTATGTATGTGCCTTATTGTAGGAACTAAAAAAATACATAAATTTAAATCAAAATTGACGAGTGCGCCTTTAATAAACTGTGTTCTCTTTTAATATTATTTACACTTATAGTCGGGTGTAACAGTGTAGTGCTTGAATTGGGAAACTTGGGGGGGGGGGGGGGCAGAATATCATCGGCCTAAGGACCTCCCCCCCCCCGACCAACAGGGCTTAATCCGACACTGCCTCTGACCCCACACTTCAACCGCATTCTTCAGGTCATTGGTTACCAAGGTTCACAGGGGTGTCACGAAATATTTAAATTAAAAAAAAAATGTTCATAGTCTTATTTGCATATTCAGTTGATTGCAACAATGTGATAGGACATCCACGGACCTGGTGCAAGCCAGACACTCACTAAGTTATAACTGTCTGCAAATGTCTCTACAAGTGACTAACAGATAGCTCTGCTTGATTTTTGAAATGCATGTTTTATTAGCTTCTTTACCTAAAACTTTTAATTGTTTGAAAAAAAAAAAAACTTTTTCGAAATGTACTTTAAAAAAAAAAAATATTTGGCATTGGCTGCCTAGTGAAAATCTGGATTAAGTAAGGTAGTCAAACATCGTAAGAGTTTGGCGACCACTGCTTTAGCCTGATGTTTATGCTATAAATGTTTTCAGGTAGATTATTGACGCAAATCTTTATTGACCAAGTTATGCAGACATAATTTCACGTGACTAGAAACAGATTTGAACAAATTTCTTTGAAAACGATTTGTACGAAGGAGTTATTTTCGAATGTTCGTATTGGACAAAATGTCGCTCCCGGGGGAAAAAAGGGTGGGGGTGGGGGTAGGAGGCATATTTCGTGAGTGCCTCAAAAGTTTTAAAAAAAATGACTGTATATACAGGGTATATACAAAGGTGCAGCTTAAAAGGTATATATATATTAAAACAGCAAAAAGAAGGAGGGAAAAAAAGGGGAGGAGGTAAGGAGATAAATAAAATTTTACAGTGGTTCTCAACCCAAACAAAACAAAAGTTAAGAAACGCAGCAATAAATCGCCAGGCGTATGTAACTAATAAAGATCAATACTCAAAAAGGTCGAGATTCAATCTCTTAGGACCTTGGCCGTGAAACATAGCCCAGTATTCCCTGGGGACTCCGGCCATGCAACTCGGCCCAGAGTAAATAGGGTTTGGGACAGCTTTACTTCCTCTCCGGAGATGACGTTGCATTGCCACCTCCACCGCCCGGGAGCTGTACGTTTTCCATGGAATGGGGCGGCTTTACTTCCACTCCGGGAGTAGTCACGAGCTTAACTTTCTCCCACCGCTCCTAAGAGTTGTGAGCAAAGGTTCCCAACAAATTGTTCCCTCCGGGTAACTAAAAGGTACGGGTATGCTGTTTTCGTTGCATTAACTTCTCTAGTGCAACATTTGCGTGGCAGTGTTTGGTTACACGAAACACTCCATTCCCGTTTTGTTCGGATAATTGACGCTCTACTGTGGCTTTTTAAAAAATATATATACTGCTGCAATCAGTCGGTTTGGTAGCTGAACAATTTTCTCAATTTTCAACCGTTAAAAGTATATGTTCTTTTATAACAAATGCAGCAAGAAAATACGATGCTTATCAAACTAAAACAAAGGATAACATTGGAAGCAATGCTGAATGTTGATAAAAGTGACTTCATTAGTTTAGATTTTTGAAAAAAATGTTTTTACAATGCGAACTTTTAAAATTAAAAAAAGAGGGAAAAAAAAACAACGTTATGTGTGTTCATATCAACACCACTTCGCATCAACACCACTTCGCATCAACACCACTTCACACTTCACACACACACACACACTGGTAAAATCACGCCGCAGAAAGAGCAAAAAATGAAAAAGCACAGGGGCAAAATTAAAAAAACCAAACAATTCATTCATTCATTAACAACCCAAACAGACGAACACACCACCAGACAAAGTTAACAACATTCACGAGAGACCGATGCGTCTGCTCACAAACAACGCAACGACGCTCAACGAACCCACTTATCACCATGCACGGTACTCACCTGATTTCGGACGCTTCTCTTGTCCCTCCTGACAGTCACGAGCTTGCCGCCGTCGTGCGTTGATATGCTGGTGACGTCGCTCAGCAGGACAGAGACCGCTAAGATAAGAAATAATGTCAGCTTAAACATCTGTGCCATCGTGTCCGCCGCTGTCACTGGCCGGTCCCGTTTTGCCGCCATTCTTCAACTGCAGGGGAAACCACTTCTTTAGAGGGAACGGTTGAAGCCTCCGCTAGATTTGAACCAAATCGTGGAAATAGCAATTTAGAATCCGTGCGCGCCAACAGTTTTCGTGGAGGTTTGTTTCCAAAATACAACTCCTCGCGTTTGGACTTGTCACTCTATTTCTCTAGTTGGAGTTCCGTAAATTTTAAAATGCTTATCCTCGTGGTGGCCTTTGTTTTATATGGCTTTGGGTGCAATTAAAATGGGTTAATTTTGAAATGAACAGCTCTCCCCGAATGAGTTTGATCAATTTGCGTCTTTGAATTCCGATAGATCTGTTGAACTCCCGACACCGGAGTGATAGTGGTTACCTTCCGATCACGGGCTGAGAGGTTATCAGTGCTCCTGATTCAGTGGCGTATCGTCTGCTGATGGGCGGAGTAAACACCGTGGCCTTCTCTTATCAACGCTCGCGCCAAGGTGGGGCCCCAGGTCGTCTGTTTCCCGTTGAACCAAACGCAACGTGTTTGTCTGTGTCTGTACTTCCGATAACCGACATGGCCACTGAGGTAGGTGGCAGAGACTTGGACCAAAAGGCGGACGAGGGGAGAGGGAGGGGGGTGAGAAAGTAAACCGAGATCGTGTTGATTAGTGCCTGTTGTCTCCTATCAAAACCTGGAACAATTAAGTTCGAAAAGGCTAGAAGAAACGAAACAATTATAAACGATTTATGGAAACGTTCATGGTTACCATGTACAAAAAGTTAATGTGATTAAATTGTGTGGTGTAAGCTGAGGTCATTTTAAGTTTTATAAGAGTTGTCTTGGCTGCGATGAGATATGGATTCGTTAAAAAAAAAAAAAAAGCATTTCCTAAAAATAACCTGCTATACTTTCCATAAACTAGAAGTAGATCTCGTGCTGCCAGGTTCATCGTCGTTATTCTTCCTGTTTCCAAGACTCNAAAGTTAATGTGATTAAATTGTGTGGTGTAAGCTGAGGTCATTTTAAGTTTTTTAAGAGTTGTCTTGGGTGCGATGAGATATGGATTCGTTAAAAAAAAAAAAAAAGCATTTCCTAAAAATAACCTGCTATACTTTTCATAAACTAGAAGTAGATCTCGTGCTGCCAGGTTCATCGTCGTTATTCTTCCTGTTTCCAAGACTCGCACAAAAACATACGGTGAACGATCGTTCTCTTTCTGTGCCCCCTCCCCTCCCCTCAAACAATGGAATTAAATTCTCTTCCATTAAACATCCGCAATATACCGACCATCACAGCCTTCAGAACTGCACTCAAAGCACTTCTTTTAAAACTCTACTACCCTGACTGATTCCCACCTCTGACCGACACACGACGCTGCTGGGTGCCGCCCATGGCTTGACTGAGTGCCGCCCATGGCTTGACTGAGTGCCGCCCATGGCTTGACTGGGTGCCGCCCATGGCTTGACTGAGTGCCGCCCATGGCTTGACTGAGTGCCGCCCATGGCTTGACTGAGTGCCGCCCATGGCTTGACTGAGTGCCGCCCATGGCGTGACACGTCAATAGTTATACATTTTGTTTCGTTTTATGTAATTAATCTATGTCAATTAATTTTTTTAAGTTCTTGATTTTTTTGTGTTAAATTGTATGTACAGCGTGGTGAGCCCAGCCCTAGGCTGAGGTACCACGCTATATAAAACCACTTATAATAATAATAATAATTCCAATAAGAACCATCATATTCATTGCCCCCACCCACCGCCATTTTTCATCGTCTGCGCCATCCCCACCCCACCCACATTACCTTCTCCAATTCTCCATTCATCTTCTCATCTTCATTACACTCTTCATCGTATCTTCCTACATTATTTATTATAAAGAGCAGTTTGCAAAATGTTTAGAATTTATATTCAGTCTGACACATTAAACAATAAGGTTTCTTAACCCTTTTAACAGCACTGCACTCCATCTTAATTTCAAAACATGTCCCTCACCACCATTTTGATTTCAAAACTTTTCCCCGAATATCATCTTGATTTCAAAACATTTCCTTCACAACCATCTTAAATTTCAAAACATTTCCCTCACCACCATTTAGATTTTGAAAATTTCTCTCACCATAATTTAGATTTCGAAAATTTCCCTCAAGATAATCTAGATTTCGAAAATTTCCTTCTAGATAATCTAGATTTCGAAAATTTCCCTCACCATTATCTAGATTTCGAACATTTCCCTTATCATTATCTAGATTTCGAAAATTTCACTCACTATTATCTAGATTTCGAACATTTCCCTTATCATACTCTAGATTTCGAACATTTCCCTTATCATACTCTAGATTTCGAACATTTCCCTTATCATTCTCTAGATTTCGAACATTTCCCTTATCATACTCTAGATTTCGAACATTTCCCTTATCATTCTCTAGATTTCGAACATTTCCCTTATCATACTCTAGATTTCGAACATTTCCCTTATCATACTCTAGATTTCGAACATTTCCCTTATCATACTCTAGATTTCGAACATTTCCCTTATCATACTCTAGATTTCGAACATTTCCCTCACCATAATGGTAATTTCACAACACTCGAAGGAAAATAATAAAAGCTGTCAATAAAAATGCCAATAAAACCCAATTTTCTGGCGCTTCCCGCAGCACCTGACAAATCCTGATGGTGGCATAATCATGTGCAAAACTACACTATGGCCTCTGACGGTGACGCAAATCTTAGCGAATTGACACTATGATCTCTGATGGCAGCAGTTTGGAGTTTGGACTTGTGCTCAATTTCAAATCGATCCTACACAGCATTCGAGATAGAGTAATCGAGTTCTCCTCATAACTTTCAAGGATCAGCTTAACTCGCCTTAGACACCAAGACGCGTCTGCACCGTCTACTCTCTGAGTCGTGAGACGTTGGAGAAAATGACCTTGAGGAAATCGTACAACTGATATCGTGTTCATGAACGAAAGTTGTTCTAACGGACGTAAAGCCTTGCTTATGCGTTGTCACCAGCCTTGCTCTTGTATTGTCACCAGCCTTGTTCTTGTATTGTCACCAGCCTTGTTCTTGTATTGTCACCAGCCTTGTTCTTGTATTGTCACCAGCCTTGTTCTTGTATTGTCACCAGCCTTGTTCCTGTATTGTCAACACAATTGTGTTGTCACCACCATTGTTCTTCTGTTGTCACTACCATTGTTCTTCTGTTGTCACCAGCCTCGTTATCTGTTGTCACCACAATTGTTCTTCTGTTGTCACAACAATTGTTCTTCTGTTGTCACCACCATTGTTCTTGTGTTGTCACCAGCCTTGTTCTTGTGTATTAAACAGCCTTGTTCTTGTGTTGTCCCCAGGCTTGTTCTTGTGTATTAATCAGCCTTGTTCTTGTCTTGTCACCAACATTGTTATTCTGTTGTCACCAGCCTTGTTCTTGTATATTAATCAACCTTGTTCTTGTGTTGTCACCAGCCTTGTTCTTGTGTATTTATCAGCCTTGTTCTTGTGTTGTCACCAGCCTTGTTCTTGTGTTGTCACCAACCTTGTTCTTCTGTTGTCACCAGCCTTGTTCTTGTGTCTTCATAAGCCTCGTTCTTGTGTTCTCATCAGACACATAGACCTCTTTAGTTTTACCGAGCATAGTTCTTGAACGGCGATTCACGAAGATTCGCAGCCCCGGGCCTGGGCCACAACTTCGTTTACTAGTTTAGCGTCCGCAGGACAGTCTGGCTCAAAGCCCCCCTCCCCTCCCCACGCCCCCCGTAATATGTTAGAAGATTTATTTTTGTCTTCTCATCATTGTTGATGTCTCATCATTGTTGTTGTGTTCTCATCCTTGTTGTTGTGTTCTCATCATTGTTCTTGTGTTCTCATCATTGTTCTTGTGTTTTCCTCATTGTTGTTGTGTTCTCATCATTGTTGTTGTGTTCTCATCATTGTTGTTGTGTTCTCATCATTGTTGTTGTGTTCTCATCATTGTTGTTGTGTTCTCATCATTGTTCTTGTGTTCTCATCGTTGTTGTGTTCTCATCATTGTTGTTGTGTTCTCATCATTGTTGTTGTGTCCTCATCATTGTTGTTGTGTTCTCATCATTGTTGTTGTGTTCTTATCCTTGTTGTTGTACTCTCATCATTGTTGTTGTGTTCTCATCATTGTTCTTGTGTTCTCATCATTGTTCTTGTGTTCTCATCATTTTTATTGTGGTCTCATCATTGTTCTTGTGTTCTCATCATTGTTGTTGTGTTCTCGTCATTTTTGTTGTGTTCTCATCATTGTTGTTGTGTTCTCATCATTGTTCTTGTGTTCTCATCATTGTTGTTGTGTTCTCATAATTGTTGTTGTGTTCTCATCATTGTTGTTGTGTTCTCATCCTTGTTGTTGTGTTCTCATCATTGCTGTTGTGTTCTCATCATTGTTGTTGTGTTCTCATCATTTTTATTGTGGTCTCATCATTGTTCTTGTGTTCTCATCATTGTTGTTGTGTTCTCGTCATTTTTGTTGTGTTCTCGTCATTGTTGTTGTGTTCTCATCATTGTTCTTGTGTTCTCATCCTTGTTGTTGTGTTCTCATCATTGTTGTTGTGTTCTCGTCATTGTTGTTGTGTTCTCATCATTGTTCTTGTGTTCTCATCGTTGTTGTGTTCTCATCATTGTTCTTGAATTCTCATCATTGTTGTTGTGTTCTCATCATTTTTATTGTGGTCTCATCATTGTTCTTGTGTTCTCATCATTGTTGTTGTGTTATCATCATTTTGTTGTGTTCTCATCATTGTTGTTGTGTTCTCATCATTGTTGTTGAATTCTCATCATTGTTGTTGTGTTCTCATCATTGTTGTTGTGTTCTCATCATTGTTCTTGTGTTCTCATCATTGTTGTTGTGTTCTCATCATTGTTGTTGGTTTCTCATCATTGTTCTTGTGTTCTCATCATTGTTGTTATGTTCTCATCATTGTTGTTATGTTCTCATCATTGTTGTTGTGTTCTCATCATTTTTATTGTGGTCTCATCATTGTTCTTGTGTTCTCATCATTGTTGTTGTGTTTTCATCATTGTTGTTGTCTTCTCATCATTGTTGTTGTCTCATCATTGTTGTTGTGTTCTCGTCATTGTTGTTATGTTCTCATCATTTTTGTTGTGTTCTAATCGTTGTTTTTGTGTTCTCATCATTGTTGTTATGTTCTCATTGTTGTTGTGTTCTCATCATTTTTGTTGTGTTCTCATCGTTATTCTTGTTTTCCAATCGGCCTTCCTTTTCTTGATTCTCCAATTGCAAGTTTTATGTCTTAATATACTATAGGTATCTGATAACGCAAATCATCGCACGCTCCGTAATCTTCAGTACGGTAACTGTAATACAGTATCCGGACCGTGCTTTTCGATTGTGACTTTCTTTCACCATGACCATTTTATTTGCGTCTTTAAGGGCCTGGTAATAACATTGTTCATTCTTGTCAATATTCTTTTTTTTTTTTTTTTAAATTAAACCTGTATATAAACTGTTTGTCTGCTAAAGACGAGTTTTAGTTAAGCAAGAACATTTTTCCCTATTTTGTCCTCAATAAATCTTCAACATACTTGTTTGCAAATGTACTTGGATCCAAATTACCATAAAAATGGGCCATGATGGAATCGTTGAATGGAAAAGTATTTATTTACTTTGGACGGAAACACAAGGTAACTGTACCAAGGTATGGAGGTTAGATACGGGATTTCCCCCTCACCAACAGATTGATGAAATGTTGTTTTGGTCGCCCATTAATCTGATCGAATGTCTATTTTGGCCGTTCAGAGTTGTCTCCACCTTATCCCCGGTGCGGTTATCTGTGAAAACAAACGGCAATTTTCACGGGCGGTAAATCCGAGACTTGTCTTCAACTATCCAAAGTATCTCCCTTGAATTTGGCATCATGCCATTTGGCAGAGTCACTGCCAGACCGATGTGTAAGATTATGTGAATATATCGGTTAGCTTGAGGGAAAAAAATGTTAATTATGGTTCAGGCCGCCCCCCACCCACCTCTTCCCCCACCGTCACAGATTTCGGTTAGTGGCTAAAGTTTTTTTTTGTTTTTTTTTAAATTTCCACTTTGAGAATAATATTTTAAAAATAATTTCGAAGGCAAAATGTGTACAGTTGACAGAAGTTGATTTTAAACTCAACTCACTGGGTTTCATTTGTTGATCAAGAGTGGACAACTCTTTTATTTATCATGGAGACCAGTTGAGAAATCTCCGTTCTACCTTTACCAGGAGTCTTTTTGTTTGTTTGGGATCCCCGTTCGTATGCTATTGTATTCTAAGTGTTTGGTACGTGGTAAGGCTTTCATTAAGACTTTGGCCAGAAGATTCCACTCTACGTGGCAGCCTAGGTTCTAAGATGGAAGCTGAGCTCATTACAACATCACCGGCACAAAGCAAGGGTGGGGAAGATTTAGGTCACCATTCCCTCCTTGTCCACATAGCTACACCTTCCTTTGTTCACGTCACTTCTACCAGTGCCCCCCCCCTGCCCACAGGACCACAACTCCCCTTGACCACAGGACCACAACCCCCTTAGCCCACAGGACCACAACCCACAACTCCCCATGTACACATCACCACAACTTCCATTGTCCACATGACCACACATCCATTCTTTCCTTGTCCACATCACCACAATACCCCTAGTCCACATCAACACCACCCCCCCCTTTTTGTCCACATCAACCACCACTCACTCTTCCCCTCATCATACCCACTCCCAGGCCAACTCGCCACAACTCCCCTCTAGGTCACCTCACTCACCAAACATCCACATGACCACACACCCATTCTTTCCTTGTCCACATCACCACAATACCCCTAGTCCACATCAACACCCCCCCCCCCCCTTTTTGTCCACATCAACCACCACTCACTCTTCCCCTCATCATACCCACTCCCAGGCCAACTCGCCACAACTCCCCTCTAGGTCACCTCACTCACCAAACACAACTACTAAATTAAGACTCATCGCCCCAGTTCCAATTATTGCCCTCGCCATCTTATTTTTGGATCTCTTGCCTACAGCGTACTTAGTGTAGTAGGAAATCTGGCAAAGGGAGTCTGTAAATATCTCTATATTCGTTCAGGCTTTTCTGACCTCACACGAAGGGAGACTTCGTCTAGACGCTACTTATCTCGCGAGACTAGCCCGCCCGGGGAATCGGCAAAACAAACAAATTATCCGAATTTCCCCATAGCCCTTAAACTAATTACTAGAGAATATCCCCAACAAGTAAACAAGATACGGTCTGTGCCCGGAGACAATTTGAGGTCTTCATGGCGTGCTCCGTCTTTCTGCTACTGCGCCATGCGAACATGACTATCTCAAGAATCTTCCCCCTCCCCCCACCCCACTTCCTCGTTTACGCTCAGACAAAATTCTTGCAGCGAACGATTCCAGACAGGTTTGTATTTCTTGAAGCGTATCACGATTTCATACATCATTTCCGCCTGTCAATGGCAAGAGTATTTTAAAATCTTTGCTTGTGAAAAACTGTGTGTTGGGGGGGGGGGAGGGGGGAGGTGCATCCAATCATGTAAAACAACTTGAAATGCCTTATAACAATGTCGGATCCCCCTGTTTTATTATTTTTTTTTAAAAAAAACGAGCATGGAGGTGGGTGCGTGGATTAATACAACCCCTTTAGGTCACGTCGACTTTAGCCTTCTCAGCAGTTATTAATTACAGATATAACTTAGATATAATATATATATTATTTTCTAATTAATTTTTTATTATCAGAACCTGTTTAGAGTTGAGGTCATGTGATCAGATCAATGGATATTTTTCCGCAGCGCTCTTAAGGGAAAAATAAAACATGGCCATGCATACATTAAAAAGTTGAACAGAGCATCTCATTTTAAACAGAGCCTTTCATTTTGAACTGAGCCTCAGATATTGAACAATGCCTCTGATATTGATCAGAGCCTTTCATATTAAACAGAGTATTGATCAGAGCTTCTCATATTGATCAGAGCCTTTCATATTGAACAGAGCTGCTCATATTGAACAGAGCCTCTCATATTGAACAGAGCCTTTCATATTGAACACAGCTTCTCATATTAAAAAGAGGCTCTCATATTGAATAGAGGCTCTCATATTGAACAGAAAATCTCATATTGAACAGAGGCTCTCATAATGAACAGAACTTCTCATATTGATCAGAGCCTTTCATATTGAACAGAGCCTCTCATATTGAACAGAGGTTTGAACAGAGGTTCTCATATTGAACAGAGGTTCTCATATTGAACAGAGGCTCTCATATTGAACAGAGGCTCTCAAATTGAACAGAGGCTCTCATAGTGAACAGAGCCTCTCATATTGATCAGAGCCTTTCATATTGAACAGAGCTTCTCATATTGAACAGAGGCTCTCATAATGAACAGAGCTTCTCATATTGAACAGAGCTTATCATATTGAACAGAGCCTCTCATATTGAACAGAGGCTCTCATAATGAACAGAGGCTCTTATGTTGAACAGAGGCTCTCATATTGATCAGAGCCTTTCATATTAAACAGAATATTGATCAGAGCTTCTCATATTAAAGAGTCTCTCATAATGAACAAAGCCTCTCATATTGAGCAGAACATCTCATATTGAACAGATCCTCTCATATTGAACAGAGACTCTCATATTGAGCAGAACATCTCATATTGAACAGAGCCTCTCATATTGAACAGATGATCTCATATTGAGCAGAACATATCATATTGAACCGAGCTTCTCATATTGAACAGATGCTCTCATATTGAACCGAGGTTCTCATTTTGAGCAGAACATTTCATATTGAACAGAGCTTCTGATATTGAACAGAGGCTCTCATATTGAACAGAGCTTCTCATATTGAACAGAGGCTCTCATATTGAACAGAGGTACTCATATTGAACAGAGCCTCTAGTATGAACAGAGCTTCTCATATTGAACAGAGGCTCTCATTTTGAACAGGACATCTCATATTGAACAGAGGCTCTCATATTGAACAGAGGTTCTCATATTGTACAGAGGCTCTCATATTGAACAGAGGCTCACATAATGAAAAGAGCTTCTCATAATGAACAGAGCATCTCGCATTGAACAGAGGCTCTCCATTAACCCACTTGAGCCAATGAATTCAGATCCATAATGACTTGCACATCATATGGCAGACGAAAATCTTCGCTGTAAAGACAGAGCCACTCTTAAAACCCAAATGGCTTGACCCTGGCGTGTTTGCATGGCAGGCTTATCGCAATTATAAAGAATATAATCATAAACTTATATAAATAGGAATATTCCGGTGCACTTAAATTGCGCACAAACAGAAACGAATAAAAATGTCAAATGATTCTAAATATGTTTTATTTATTTAATATTGTTATAATTCTTTTTAATGAGGGGAAAAATATCTTATTTGAATAATAAAACAAAAAATGAGGGAATAATATTAGAATAGAATAAGTAAACAAACCCCAAAGAAAAAGTTTTTTTTGTTTTTTTTTTTACAAATCCTTTATGAAGTGTATTATCGAACAAATGGTGGGGGGCTCAAACTTTGATAAAACTTTCATACAAGTAACGCATTTTATTACAATCCCAAAGTTTGCAACCACACATTTTTTTTCGCACCCCTGAACTATATTAATATTCTAATCAGGTTGGACGATACTCATTTTTGCGAAAAGGATATTATTTGCCTAATGTGCACCAAATTGATCGTTTCATTAAAAAAAAATCGACAGACTTAGAAAATTCCTTCTTGCATGCAGTGGCGTAGCAAGGGTTAGTGCCGCCGGGGGGGGGGGCGAGCCACTATTTTAGCCGCACTCTACGCTTCTGCTTACATTACTTTCATGCCAAATGATTGTTTGAAGTACATCGATTTTTATTTACTTTAGTATTTTTTTCATATGTTAATTAGTTCTTTATGTCGGGTAGATGCCTTAGTGATCTTTAATAAATATCTGACTAATTCTCAACATCATCCAATAAAGATTTAACAAAAGACAATTGGTCGACGAGAGTGGGCTGTTACCCACTTGAAATACGCCGCTGAAATCTAAGTCGTTCACTTTATATATGTATGTACCACTAATAAAATCTTAACAATTTCTCTGCTCATTAATCATAATATAAATAGCCAACATATTTTTAAAATTAAAAAGGGGGGGGGGTGGGGGGGAGAAGAGAATTTTAATCGTTCTGACTGGAGATTTGGCTTCGCATTTCTAGTAAATTACAAAAAAAAAAAAACAACAACAAAAAAATAAGGAGATAAATCCCAGGTCTTGTGGTATCACACATGCCACATTCCTAAATCAGTGCGAACCTGAAATTACAGGTTTTTTATTGNGTTCGTGGTTTTGTTGGGGGGGGGTAATTTTTTAAATTGGTTTATCTCATTCCAAACTAGTGATATTCCTAGTTCTCCCACTCCTGCCATCCTATTTAATGCATTGAGATGGAAGCGGTCTTTTCGATATTGCTTTCTTTTGGCCAACCTTCATTACCAATAGCTGCGTCGAACGGAGCGTCGTCTCAACACTTCCCTAAGCATGGACAGAACGCCCACCGTGATTTTATGGCTCTACATGACAACTGCCATCAGTTTGCTTCACGTATCGACCGGACAGAGGGTAAGTGGATTTTTGGTCGATTGATTTTGATAGTAAAGAAACGTTTAACATATCTAAAATGTTTTTTTTTTAAATTTAAAATTAAATGCTGATAATAATGATATAAACAGTAGAGTTCTGGTTGAATGATAGGACGGAGGTGTCATGGTTAACTGTTAGGACAGCGGTGTCACGGTTCATGGTGCCACGGTTGAATGATTGGATAGATGCGTCATGGTTCAATGATAGGGCAATGGTGTCATGGCTCATGGTTGAATGATTGGATAGAGGTATCATGGGTCAATGATAGGGCAATGGTGTCATGGCTCATGGTTGAATGATCGGATAGAAGTGTCATGGGTCAATGATAGGGCAATGGTGTCATGGCTCATGTTTGAATGATCGGATAGAGGTGTCATGGGTCAATGATAGGGCAATGGTGTCATGGCTCATGTTTGAATGATCGGATAGAGGTGTCATGGGTCAATGATAGGGCAATGGTGTCATGGCTCATGGTTGAATGATTGAATAGAGGTGTCATGTTTCAATGATAGGGCAATGGTGTCATGGTGGAATGATTGGATAGCGGTGTCGTGATTCAATGAAAGGACAGTGTTGTTAATTTTAGATTCTATGTCAGTGTGGTGTCATTGCTCATGGTGTCATGGTTCAATGATTTGATAGTGGTGTCATGGTTGAATGGTAGGACAGTGGTGTATTGGTGAATGTTTGGACAGGGGTGTATTGGTTGAATTTTAAGACATGGGGATATTGGTTAAATTTTAGGACCATGGTGTATTGGTTTATAGTGGTGTCCCAAAATTGTCCGAAATACCCTAACCTGCCTAATTTATGTTGATACCGATATGATCAGTTCATGTGAATAATGTCCAGGCGTTGTAACTCGAACGGCCCACTCATGTGTTATGTTTATTATCAACTCAGGGCCCGACAAACAGTCAGATTCAAACAGCTTCCGATGGCGATGACATGTCTCGTTTTCAGAACTTTACACCCCGCCCAGTCCCTCCCGAAGAGGTCAACTGTCACCTGGAGCTGCAACAGGTAATTATCCTAAAGTGCGACCGTCATAGCTATGATGTTAAGGCGAGAGTTGCGGGCTTTGAGTCGGGCTGATGGTGACCCGAGACTTGACCTGACCCGACGCTTTGACCTTAACGGACACTTTGACCTGACGCTTGAGCTAAATGTATCGTATGAATAACAACAAACCAACGTGACCTCACTCAAACACTCAGACAAACAACAGCTCAAGCACTCCCCTGCGGAGTCACAGATATTTGTCAAAATTATCGCTCGAAAGTTAAACGTGCATTATCTATGAGGCTCAAATTCCTTTAGCACTAGGTTAGCACAATTAAATTCCTTTAGCACTAGGTTAGCACAATTAAATTCCTTTAGCACTAGGTTAGCACAATTAAATTCCTTTAGCACTAGGTTGGCACAATTAAATTCCTTTAGCACTAAGTTAGCACAATTAAATTCCTTTAGCACTAGGTTCTCACAATTAAATTCCTTTAGCACTAGGTTAGCACAATTAAATTCCTTTAGCACTAGGTTAGCACAATTAAATTCCTTAAGCACTAGGTTAGCACCATTAAATTCCTTTAGCACTAGGTTAGCACACATAAATTCCTTTAGCACTAGGTTAGCACAATTAAATTCCTTTAGCACTAGGTTAGCACACATAAATTCCTTTAGCACTAGGTTAGCACAATTAAATTCCTTTAGCACTAGGTTAGCACAATTAAATTCCTTTAGCACTAGGTTAGCACAATTAAATTCCTTTAGTACTAGGTTGGCACACATAAATTCCTTTAGCACTAGGTTAGCACAATTAAATTCCTTTAGCACTAGGTTAGCAAAATTAAATTCCTTTAGCACTAGGTTAGCACAATTAAATTCCTTTAGTACTAGGTTGGCACAATTAAATTCCGTTAGCACTAGGTTAGCACAATTAAATTCCTTTAGCACTAGGTTAGCACACATAAATTCCTTTAGCACTAGGTTAGCACAATTAAATTCCTTTAGCACTAGGTTAGCACAATTAAATTCCTTTAGCACTAGGTTAGCACAATTACATTTTTTGAACAGTTTAATGATTTTACAAGATGAATTTATTGCGAAGAAATACCTCTAAATAAGCTTCTAACTGGCCTGTCCATCAGCCCCCACCAAATAAAAATCTCCTTACTGGCTTACCCCACCCCACGGGCCATCAACACCTTCTAACTGGCACCCCCCCCCCACGGGCCATCAAAATCTCCAAACTGGCAATCAACCACTTCCCCCCCCGCCCCCTCAAAATTTTCTAACTGGCCAACCCACCACATCTCTTCACGAAGCCCACCTCCCCCCCACCCCACAAACTTTTCCCCCAGATAAAATATTTAAAACATTTCCAATTTTTCCTATAACATTAATTAATGATACTTCTTTTGAAATTGTTTTAGATCAGTGGTTCTCAACCTCCCTAATTACGGGGTACTTTAACACAGTTCCTCATGTTTTGGTGACCCCCCCCCCCACAACCATAAAATTAGTTTCGGTGCTACTTCATAAATACGTATTTTCCGATGATCTTAGGCGACCTCTGTTTAAGGGTCGAATGAGATAACTCATTTTAACCAATGTATTTTAATTTGATCGTTTCATCCCGTTCCACTGACAGACCGTTGTTCTGGGCGGCCGATGCGTTCCCCTGGGCCGAGGTAGGATCACCTGGAGCTGCCAGTCAGGGATCTACATACACCCAAACAGCCGCCAGTGTTTGGACCTCGCCATGCAGACGACCACGACCACGACCACGACTCGAAGAACAAGGTCAACCAGAAGGAGGCCGTTGTCGGCCCAAAGTCCTTAGCCTACTGGAAACACAACTTTAACAAATTACTGGGGGAGAATGTGGCGCTTTCCCAGTATTGAGCTAGACTACCCGCTGTGATTTTGATTTATAAAATATTCTTTTCAGAGCAGGTGTTCTTAATCTGGGGCAGTGTACCCCTTTCATAGAAACATTGTTATATTTGAAACGTTCCGAAATTTTTCTGTTTTGAAATGGAAGTCATATTTATTTATTTGTTTTATTTTTTTTAAAAAATAGTTATCGCTATATTGTAAGCAGTAAAAAATAAAAGAAAGATGAAAGACTCGTGATTTATCGGATATTTTAGACTTTCAATAAGTTTATCAGGTTGTGGTAGCCCCCCGGGGGGTCGAGTCCGGTTGGAACGCGTGGGAACGGCGCTCCTGTACTTTTTTTCTCCTTATTTTTTTTCTTTTTTGCTTAATATTTATTTTTTTAAAGGGGTACTCTTTGGTACATTACCTCACTCTTCACCCCTTGTGTTCCCTAACTTTTTTTCCAGGACTCGAGCCTTGGGTAGAACATGTTGACTTGAGAGAAATCTCCAACACACTGTATTTGAACGTATATTGTGGTATAATAAACCATTTGTAAATAATGAATGTACAATTTTCCATTTTTAAATTTGATCAAATGTTGTTGTTTTTTCTTCCAACTAACTGTTCATATACAGGAGGAACTAACTCTGCACTTAAATCATTTTCACGGGCTACTGACGCACAGAGTTCTCTCCCCCCCCCCACCCACCCCCCCACCCCCCCAATGAATGTATAATATATAGTTGAAGAAATAAGAAATCTTAATGTGTTTTATTATTAATGAAAATTTGGAGAAAAAAAAATCTATAGATCACAGACTTTTCAATCTTAAGAATTTTTTTTCTAAATTAACAAACTATTGGGGATGTACCATTGTGATAAAATAATTGATGTGACTTTAGTTCTGCAACGACTTCAGCGCTACAGCAGTTGGTAGGACTATAGTGTTACATCAATTGTGGTACAACTTTGAGGATGCAATAATTAGGGTAGGATATTACAGATACAGCAATTGGTAGCATTTGTAGGGATACAAAAGTTGGTATTATTTTAGGGAAACAACCGAAGGCTACGATTGTAGGGATTCAACAGTTGGGTAGAACTGTAGGGATAAAACCATCAGTAGGATTGTAGGGATAGAAAAGTTGGGTTACGATTGTAGGGATACAATCATTGGTAGGATTGTAGAGATACAACAGCTGGGGCAGGGCTTGGATGAAAGACCACTATGGGTTGGACTATTATGACTTAACAATATAATATTACAGTTCTGCTTTGTTCACCAATTGTGTTACGATGAAATTTTCTCAGAGGTTTTATGTCAGCTAATTTGTTTTGAGCCGACGACAAATGAATAATAACGGGACACTGCTTCCGGTGATGTGCCGTTACGGGACACTGCTTCCGGTGATGTGCCGCTACGGGACACTGCTTCCGGTGATGTGCCGCTACGGGACACTGCTTCCGGTGATGTGCCGCTACGGGACACTGATTCCGGTGATGTGCCGTTACGAGTGACGGCATTGGCAGGTGTATGCAAAGCGAAATCGCTCCACAAAAACATTTTTTTCCCTTTAAAATGGTTATCTCTCCTAGAATTCTCCCCCCCCCCCCCCAAACAATGGAATTTTTTTTTTAACCCAAAAGGTTTTTTTTTTTTTTAATTTATTTTTTAAGGTTTCCCCTAGAAGTACTACAGTCCTGTATTGCGGGTCTCTAGCTATCCACCGAACTACCCTGCCAAGGCCAAACACTAAGTGAATTATCAGGAGCCACACAGAAAGGTTTGATGACCTGACCGGGAAAAGATACTACTACACGTTGGTGCTAGCCAAAAGGCATTTATCAACAAAATTTATGCTTGGGAAAACTGATATTAAATTATTATGGAATTTAGGGAAACAAAGTATGGGGAAGCCTGGGGGTGGGGGGGGGGGAGAGAACGCGATGAAACGACGAACGTGTCTCCAAGAAGCCTTATTTCAGTGAGCAGACAACGGGGAAAACAGAATCAAATAAAAACAATACTCGGCTGAAATGTAGCATCCAAGGGGAGAGCAATAGGAACGTGTGACACGTGGTTTTGCTCATTTCCATTTTTTTTTCTAACCTGATTGCAGTATCTCTACCTCATTCCCACACCATATTATTAGCTTGGGTAAACTTATCCCTGGGAGAACAAAACTTAAAAAAAAAACAAAAAAAACAAAAAAACAACAGGAATAAATGATGCTGATAACTGTCAAATTACAAGAATTAACTGAGATGTTAAATGTTGAGTAAATTGTGACACCGACACCAAAAACAAAAAATGTAACTTTAAACAACAACATCAAAAATAAAATAAATCGGATTTGTATCTATTGCATCTATTGTATCTAATGCTCTAACTATGTGCGGCTATTTGTTGCAATAATTCCCCTCTCTGAAATGAAAACAAAAGATATTAGGTCTGTTTCACCCTGGCGAAGGTCAGTTTTCATTTTCGCTGGAGATGGGGGAGGCGATTCAAAATAGAAAGTTTAAAAAAAAATATATTAAAAAAAATAATTGAAAAGTAAAATAGTTCAACTATCATCTATATTGAAAAGTATACTAGTGCAACTATCATATATGTTGTTCACAATTTGTAAATGTTTAATAAAAACACATATTACTAATAAATAAAAATAGATACCAGTATACCATCGACAATTTTTTAGAACACAAATCCTTCAAGTGTACAGGCAGTAGTTGAGAGTGTTTACGGTAATATTCTTTATAAAAATCCTAATGCAGACCTGTTTACCGTCAAACTCTTAAAATCGTGCAATATCATGGCAAAATCATTCAATACATTATCTTAATGGTAAACAAATACACGTCAAAATCGTACTTTGTATGCCAAAATCAAAATCGTAAGAGTAAACAGGTCTACTGATGGGACGAGTGGTCGTTCCCTTGAAAGCTCATGTCGGTAACTTTTTAAATAGCTTGATATGTGTAATAGCATCCATGGTGAGGCAGTCTTGATATGTGTAATAGCATCCATGGTGAGGCAGTCTTGATATGTGTAATAGCATCCATGGTGAGGCAGTCTTGATATCTTCAACAACATCCATGGTGAGGCAGTCTTGTTATCTTCAATACCATCCATGGTGAGGCAGGCTTGATATCTTCAATAACATCCATGGTGAGGCAGTCTTGATATCTTCAATACCATCCATGGTGAGGCAGTCTTGATATCTTCAATAACATCCATGGTGAGGCAGGCTTGATATCTTCAACAACATCCATGTTGAGGCAGGCTTGATATCTTCAATAACATCCATGGTGAGGCAGGCTTGATATCTTCAATATCATCCATGGTGAGGCAGGCTTGATATCTTCAACAACATCCATGTTGAGGCAGGCTTGATATCTTCAACAACATCCATGGTGAGGCAGTCTTGATATCTTCAACAACATCCATGGTGAGGCAGTCTTGATATCTTCAATACCATCCATGTTGAGGCAGTCTTGATATCTTCAACAACATCCATGGTGAGGCAGGCTTGATATCTTCAACAACATCCATGGTGAGGCAGGCTTGATATCTTCAACAACATCCATGGTGAGGGAGGCTTGATATCTTCAACAACATCCCTGGGGAGGCAGTCTTGATATCTTCAATACCATCCATGGTGAGGCAGTCTTGATATCTTTAATAACATCCATGGTGAGGCAGGCTTGATATCTTCAACAACATCCATGTTGAGGCAGGCTTGATATCTTCAACAACATCCATGGTGAGGCAGTCTTGATATCTTCAATAACATCCATGGTGAGGCAGGCTTGATATCTTCAACAACATCCATGGTGAGGCAGGCTTGATATCTTCAACAACATCCATGGTGAGGCAGTCTTGATATCTTCAACAACATCCATGGTGAGGCAGTCTTGATATCTTCAATACCATCCATGGTGAGGCAGGCTTGATATCTTCAACAACATCCATGGTGAGGCAGGCTTGATATCTTCAACAACATCCATGGTGAGGCAGGCTTGATATCTTCAACAACATCCATGGTGAGGCAGACTTGATTTATAGTGTAACATCCATGGTGAGGCTGAATTGATATCTACAATAACATCCATGGTGAGGCAGGATTAATATCTACAATAAAATCCATGGTAAGGCAGGATTGATATCTTCAAAAGCATACATGGTGAGGCAGGATTGATATCTACAATAACATCCATGGTGAGGCAGGCTTCATATATAATGTAACATCCATGCCGAGAAACGTTTAATAAGTACAATGGCGTTAAGGGTGAGACTAAAGTCAAAGAAACGTGTTCACGTCACTCCACCACTTTACTCACTACATTGGCTCCCTATACAGGCATGCATTGATTACAAGCTGCCTGTTCTCGGTCACAACTTTTTCTCTGTTTCCTGCCCTTCCCCTCTTACTGAAATTCTTACTGTCTATTGACCCCTTCGAAAGCTTCGTTCCTCCACCGACACGCGTATTCTTTCTGTTCCCAGAAGATGCACTAAAACATATGGTGAACGATCTTGCTATTCTGTCCCCAAATCAATGGAATTCTCTCCCATTACACATCCGCAATATACCGACCATCCCAGCCTTCAAAACTACCCACAGACCCATCCCTTTAAACTATACTATACAGACTCAATCTCACCCCCTCTAACTGATAAACAACGATCGATGCTGCTGGATGCTGTCCATGGCTAGACAGGGGTAGATAGTACTAAGGTGGGTGAGGGCAAGCTTTTCACCAATTGTTGTTTTTAGATGTATAATTTTCTGTAATTGCTAATTTTTTATGTGAAGCACTGTGAGCCTAGCCCTAGGCTGGGGTACTCCGCTATATAAAACAACCTTAATAATAATAATAATAATGGTGCGACTTATACTGAGACTTATATTGAGACTAATGATGAGATAAATAGTGAGTTTGCAAAGACTGCTGGTTGGATGGGAGGATGTAGCGCATGCAGTCACAGTTTTACAAGAAGACTATTTGGGCAACCCATCCCTATAAAGTGTTACCGGACTAAACTAGAAAATAACATATTTTTTTATAGATTATTTTACGACCCCTTGAAGGTATTAATCTTAATTGTTCCATTTGAACGTCTAGTCCGGCTATATTGTGATACTAAAATATGTCATCATGGCTGACTTCAAATTGGAAGAAATTGAATGTATTTTCTATATTTTAGCTGCCTTTGAAGTCTTATGGCTCAAGTAAGAAACTTGAAAAGTTTATTATTCCTGATTCAACTTGTAAACTTGTCACAGTGTGCTTGCCAATGCCAATTACCATGAGTCTAAAACAATTCCATTCAACTACAAACTTCCAGAATTTGAATTAAGTTTGATTCTGTCTCTTGACATTAGCACAGAATTAGAATTGCTACGGTGGAGCTCCAGTGTTTCACTTAGTTTCCTCATCTCTTGGACAGTTTGTTTAGAGATGTAAACGTAAATATTGGTCTATTTTTAGCTTTGCACCATAATTCTCATCAAAAATGAAGTTTGAAACTAATGAAATGGTGCAAATTAAATGAATTTCA